TTGATGACTACGCTGCAGCTATTTCATTTCGTAGCGTAAGTGCCAAAGCTTACCGCTATTTTCGAACGAAATTGAACTACCCTTTACCATCGTTAGCGTCATTAAGAAGGTGGGCATTGAAAAAATTTAACATCGAAGAAGGATTCTTAATTACATTGAGGTAGATTAAGATATAAGAATAACACATTTATATCTGTAGGCTGTTTTTTTTATCTTGTGTAAAATCCATTATTACATAAAATTTATTGAAATAATTATAGCTTGCAATATATTAAATTTCAATGCAATATATTAAACATATTTTTAATTATATATATACAATATATATAATTAAAAATGTCTTTAAAAACTAATGTAAGATAAATTGCAAAAAAATATAACAAAATAGATGCATTGTTGCTAATAACATGACATTTTTAAAACAATGTAATAGTTTATTTATTTAATCCACTATTATAATCAAACATATAAACATATAAATTGATCATAACCCAATCAGCACACAATATTTTTAAAATGTTTTTTTAATGTTTTTTTTTTCATTTCCTGAACTCATTTTGGAAAAAATATTTATTTAACATTTAATTTTTTTTTTATTAAATATTTGTTATTTAGAATAATGATTTCTATAAAAAACATTTTTTAAACGTTTAATTAATATTTTTAAAATATTTATTTAACATTAATTTTACATTTAAAATAATAATTTGAGTATACATTTTTTAAACGTTTATTTAATATTTGTAAAATATTTATTTAACGTTAATTTTATATTTAAAATAATGATTTGAGTAAAGATTCAATGACTTCTGCATAGCTTCGTGAGAAAGACGGAATTTCCATTTCGATGGACCACGTACACTGTATAGTTCCAAATTAACGTTTACTTTAATAAATTTTCGTTAATTTTAATGCAGACGTTATCACTAACTGACACAGGTTATTATTTAGTTAATTCTTTTTTTTACATAACGTGTCCTCTCCGCTTGCGCCCATACTACCTACTAGCTTCGCCGCCTCCTAATCCCCCCCCTCCCCATTAGGATTATTTTTTTTGTTACTTTTTTTGTTA